AAACTGGTTATTAAAGAAATGAATCGTAAGAAGCAGCTTGCTTGGTGTCGGGGGAAAAGACGATGGCGAGTAGGACTGAAACTTGCGATTTTTTCAGATGAGAGTAAAATTATAATGGGACATGGTGAAAGAATTAGGATTTGGAGAAAAAATGACGAAGGATGGAGACCGGACATTGTTCAGCAGAGGACTTCTCAAGCGAAATACGAAGTCATGATATGGGGGTGAATCTGCAGGGAGGGTGTTGGAACTATGACGCCAGTAGAAGGAAATATCAATGCTGCTAAATACCAAGATGTCTTAGATGAAAACCTATGGCCTGCTCTTGTAAGACATTTCCCTCAAAATGGCTATTTTTTCAGGATTATAACACACCAGTCCACTGAGCCAGGTCAACTCAAGAGTATACGTAGCTAGAAATCGAATTAACTGTTTAAGCTAGTCTGCTCAGTCACCAGACATGAATATAATAGAGAATGTTTGGTTACACATAAAAAGAAAACTTCAGTCACGCACTGCTGCAATAAAATCGAGAGACAATTTGATCGAGGAAATTTGGCTCATATGGACAAGTATCACGCCTGCTTACATTTAAAGCTTGTATGGCTACATACCAAAGCGGATTCTAAATGTAATCCTACTCAAAGGACACCTTACGAAGTATTAAATCGTAAGTAATTAATTTTTTTAATTTTCAAAACATTTTCATTGAAATTTTAGCTTGTAGATTTTTTCATACTACCGCTGTCAGTGTAAACACGCCACTGTTTTGACCAAATACTTTTCGCACGTGTCTGTATTTGTATAAATATGGAAAATACAATTTTTGAGTGGTAGCGAAATTGAATCAGACGATGGATGGTCTGCAAAGAAACAGGTTTTAGTTTTAAATCTTGTCAAAAGAGTTAGGAATGTCATTAAACTTGATGTGCGTTTCACTGTTGCCGAACTATTCGAGTTACATATACGTGGTAAAGAATTTGAAAACACTTACAACCTAGTTCATGCTATTTGCACAATTGTTAGCAAACTAGGTGTTAAGTGTTACGGATACGTTTTTAAGCATGGAGAAGACTACAAACCTTGTATGAAATTAAAAAGCAGAATAATTTTGAGAAACTTTCTCAGCTTTGTTTTTGACGTTACAATGTTGGTTAACCGTGCTCCATGGTAACAAAACATGCTGCTTTAAAAATTAACTAACTTGAGTTCTATTTAATCAAATGGAATAAAACTTCACACTTCAACAAAATAAATGTACATATTTACGATAATGTGTTCATCTATCATCTTGTAATAATAATATGACGATGAGGAACATAGTCTACGTATTTGGCAAAGTATAATAGGCATTGATCTAAAATATGCACCCCCCTTTTTGAGTCTAAAACGGGGGAAAAAACACAGTTCGAATGTATTATATGCAACAGAAAATTTTACCAAGTGATGTTCTGAACTTTGAAAATCGCGGTAATTTGTTACGAAAATTGGCGCAAAGATTAAGTGTCAAAATTTACAAAACACTTTTTTTCAAATACATTTATAATTTTCTCTTACTCCTGAATTTCCATATCCCAGCAATCTGGAGAAAATTATTTTTTTCTACAAAGCACAAGATAATGTTGCATAAAAGTATTTATTTCTTTCTACAAAGCACAAGATAATGTTGCGTAAAAGTATTAACAGAGTTTATTATTTTTTTTCTAAGCATACAGTGATTTTGAAATAATACATCGCCATATTCTTTGGTGAAATTACTTTATTTCAACAAAGCATGAAATATTGTTGCAAGTTTTAACAGTTGTCATATTTAATTTTAGGTAATTATGCTGAAAATTACGATACAATACTTTAACAGGACACTAGATTGAAACATCAAAGTATTAAAAAGACTATGATTTTTCCTCTTTGGAATCTTTGCGGATATCTTATTTTCTACAGAGCACGAATAAATGATAACACTTAATTAAGTTTATAATAATAAGCATACTTCATATTTCATTTCATTTAAACAAGAGGCCGATAAGTATAAGATAGGTAAAATTACATCTAACAAGTGTTTAATTGTTTAATGTGTCATAATCAACACATGCTCACACATACGAACGGTCATAAACCAACCCCCGATTTTTAAGAAAAAAAATAATAAAAGTAATTAAAAGGACAGTAAATAATTAGTGCTCGAACTGTAAAAACAATGCTTTGGAGTTGGTAGACAATTAATTGCCTGGAGGAATGTTGAGAGATAATTATCAAGTGACCACGCACGTGTTCACAACACCGGCTTCCTTTCATTTGGACGTATAGAAGGGTGCTTATGTTGCAGTGAATTTTCACTGAGTTATTCAAAACCTAAAATAAATTTTTATTTATTGTATTTCATTAAAAATGAAAGAAAAAGTGAGCAGACTTCACATACCCCACGCTCCCCCAAAACTCAAAGTGCTGAAAATCCCGTAAAAAATAAAAGAATCGGAATTTCCCCATAATATGCACATCTACACATTGTGTCCTAAATATATGCAAAGTTTGATGAAATTCTGTGCAGCGGTTTATGAGGAGTTGCACTGACAAACTGTTCATCACTATATTCAAGATATCCCCAAAAATCTAATTTGAAAAGTGCCGAAATTCCCAGAAAAAAATTAAGAAATCAGAATTTCCTGGTAAAATGCACATCTACACATTGTGTCCTAAATATCTGCCAATTCTGACGAAATTCTGTGCAGCGGTTTATGAGGAGTTGCGCTGACAAAATGTTCATCTGTATATTCAAGGTATGGCCAAAAATCTAATTTGAAAAGTGCCAAAATTCCCAGAAAAATAAAGGAATCGGAATTTCCTGGTAATATGCACATCTACACACTGTGTCCTAAATATCTCTAAAGTTTGATGAAATTCTGTGCAGCGGTTTATGAGGAGTTGCCCTGACAAAATCTTCATCTCTATATTCAAGGTATGGCCAAAAATCTAAGTTGAAAAGTGCGGAAATTCCCAGAAAAAATAAGGAATCGAAATTTCCTAGTAATATGCACATCTACACATTGTGTCCTAAATACCTGCAAAGTTTGATGAAATTCTGTGCAGCTGTTTATGAGGAGTTGCCCTGACAAACTGTTCATCTCTATATAAAAGGTATGGCCAAAAATCTAAGTTGAAAAGTGTGGAAATTCCCAGAAAAAATAATGGAATCGGAATTTCCTGGTAATATGCACATCTACACATTGTGTCCTAAATATCTGCAAAGTTTGACGAAATTCTCTGCAGCGGTTTATGAGGATTTGCGCTGACAAACCGTTCATCTCTATATAAAAGGTATGGCCAAACACCTAAGATTTTAGTGCGGAAATTCTCGGAAAAAATAAGGAATCAGAATTTCCTGGTAATATGCACATCTACACATTGTGTCCTAAATATCTGCAAAGTTTGATGAAATTCTGTGCAGCGGTTTATGAGGAGTTCCGCTGACAAACTGTTCATCTCTATATTCAAGGTATGGCCAAATGCCTAAGTTAAAAAGTGCGGAAATTCCTGGAAAAAATAATGGAATCGGAATTTCCGGGTAATATGCACATCTACACATTATGTCCTAAATACCTGCAAAGTTTGACGAAATTCTGTGCAGCGGTTTATGAGGAGTTGCGCTGACAAAAAAAAAGGACTGACTGACACTCTGACCGACACTCTGACGGACGGGTCAAAAACATTATACCTCACGCAACTAATTGCGTGGGGTATAACAAGAGGCCCAGGGGCCACAACGCTCACCTGAGCATAAGCACATCGGCTAGGAAAAAGCACATATCAGATCAAAACTAAATGTTTACTAAGGTAGGGGGGGGGGCTTGAATTTTGACCCCCAGAGGAACATGATTTGAACGAACTAGAATCTACATTACCTGAGGATGATTCCATATAAATATTACTAATCATGGCTTTGAAGTGATTGAAAAGAAGATTTTTAAAGACATTTGCTATATATTTCTATGTAAAACTTTGGTCGGCCATTTTGGCCCCACCCTAACCCTGGGGGTCATGATTTGAACAAATTTAAATCTACACTACGTGAAGATGCTTCCACATGGGTTTCATCTTTCCTGGTCCAATGGTTCTGGAGAAGAAGATTTTTAAAGATTTTTCCTATATATTCCTCCGTAAAACTTTGATCGGCCATTTTGGACCCTCCCTACCTCCGGGGTCATAAGTTGAACAATCTTGAATCTACACTACCTGAGGATGATTCCACATGAGTTTCATCTTTCCTGGCCCAGTCGTTATTGAGAAGAAGAATTTTAAAGATTTTTCCTATATATTCCTATGTAAATCTTTGATCGGCCATTTTCACCCGCCTACCCTGGGGGTCTTGATTTGTACAAACTAAAATATATACTACCTGAGAATGATTCCACATGAGTTTCATCTTTCCTGGCCCAGTGGTTCTTGAGAACAAGATTTTTTAAAAATGCCATTAATTTTTAATAAATTCATGATTATCTCCCCTTGGAAGAGGGTGTGGCCCTTCACTTGAACAAACTTAAGTCCCCTTTACCCACGAATACTTTGTAGCAAGTTTGGTTGAAATTGGTCCAGTGGTTCTTAAGGAGAAGATGAAAATGTGTAAAGTTTACGACGACAACGATGACATCAATGACAACAACAACGACAACGACAGACGACGGAGAAATTTTGATCAGAAAAGCCCACTTGAGCCTTCGGCTCAGGTGAGCTAAAATTGACATTACTTTGTCTGACAGATTTTGTACATGTGCACTATGATTACGGAAGCACGTGGAATAAAAATAACATTGGTAATGGCGGCCTACACAGAGACGATAAACATGCAGCTCAAATTAATTTTAACTTGCTTTTTCATGTCACTTTAGCATCAAAAGATTATGAAAGTGACATTTTTAACAAGCATACTTTCCAATAATATTAAACTCTCCGAAGTTTAAAATATGGAGATAAACAAAAGAAGTTGCATATGTCTCTACGTAGTACTACGGTATGTACGTGTGATAGCCATGTTTCACCTGAAAGAAAAACTTATCAAAATCACACTGTGATGTAAAATACGCATGCACCCATTTCTCACAGAAATTTATTTTAGGAAAAAAATGCATATTATATTCCGCCAAATATGGTATATACTTTTTGAATGACCCTCGTATTTATGAAAAAAAGAAATTTAATTTTCTTACCATGCCTTTCTCTACTTTCTCATCTTGTATAAGTTTATTTTCCTTCTCCCTTTTCTCTATTTCTTTTAAAAGATTCTCTGTCTCATCTTCAGCTTCATGTTCATGGCAAAATTCTGATAATTTTGTCTGAGCAACATTTTTCTGGGGCTCTAAATACATGTCCTCTTTAACTGGTAATGAAAAATTCCTTTTTTTTTCTCTTCTGTCTTCTGACCAGACAAAATCATATTCTTTTGTGATTCCTCTACAAACTGCCTATTTAAATAATAATAATAAAAAAATTCATACCAAAATATAATTTTTGTGATGTCACAACCTTTGTTATAAAAATTAGATACCTTTCAACAGCTTTCATGATAGATTATTCTATACTTCTTTAATCAAGAAGTAAAAATATTAACCTGCACAATATCAATAGAAGCTAGGATTATGACAATCAGAATAATAATTAAAATTTTAGAGCAAAGTAACAGAAAATTACTTTAAAACATGTGCATGTTTAACCTGAATCCATCTCATCCTTCCAAAAACAAAGGACCTTCTATGTCAGTGAAACCTTACACATAAACCCAAAATGAACAAGTCAATTAAAATAAGAAAAGACCAGAAGTCTCTGTCAAGACTGTAGCTCTACTGGTTTGTACTTATAACAAAGGATGAGAAAAGAAGCCACTGCCATCAGACCAAAAGAAGGAGTAGCATTTTAAAGGAATTTCACACATTTCTATTTTTAGTAACAATGGCAACACCGTTCATCAAAATTAAAAAACCGACGCACTATTTTATGCATCTTAGTATAGTCTACTTGTGTGCCAAATTACATTGAAATCAGACCAAAATTGTAGGAGGAGTAGCATTTTAAAGAAATTTCACAGAAAATTCTATTTTTAGTAACCATGGCAATACTGTTCACCGAAATCAAAAACCAATGCACAATTCTATGTATCTTAGTGTAGTCTACTTGTGTGCCAAGTTATACTGAAATCAGACCAAAACTGTAGAAGGAGAAGCGTTTTAAAGAAATTTCACAGAAAATTCTATTTTTAGTAACCAGGGCAACACCATTCATCTAAATCAAAAAACGATGCACCATCTTATGTATCTTAGTATAGTCTACTTGTGTGCCAAGTTATATTGAAATCAGATCAAAACTGTAGGAGGAGTAGCATTTTAAAGGAATTTCACAGAAATTCTATTTTTAGTAACCATGGCAACACCGTTCATTGAAATAAAAAAACCGATGCACTATTTTAGGTATGTAATTACAGTCTACTTGTGTACCAAGTTATATTGAAATCAGATTAAAATTGTAGGAGGAGTAGCATTTTAAAGGAATTTCTCAGAAAATTCTATTTTTAGTAACCATGGCAACACCATTCATTAAAATCAAAAACCAATGCACTATTTCAGGTATCTTAGTGTAGTCTACTTGTGTGCCAAGTTATATTGAAATCAGATCAGAACTGTAGGAGGAGTAGCATTTTAAAGGAATTCCACAGAAAATTCTATTTTTAATAACCATGGCAACACCGTTCATTGAAATTAAAAACTGATGCACTATTTTATGTATCTTAGTATAGTCTACTTGTGTGCTAAGTTATATTGAAATCAGACCAAAATTGTAGGAGGAGTAGCGTTTTGAAAAATTGTTTACAGACAGACGGACAGACAGAGAGCTAGACAGACGGACGACGGACACCTTACTATCACATTACCTCTTCTGGTCTCTGACCAGTAGAGCTAAAAAACTAAAAAAAATGAAGTTGATAATTCCAGGTGCACTGACCGTCATATGGTGAATAATACGTGTACAAATTTTACAGATTAATCCTTGCAATAGTTTCCGAGAAACAGTCTGCACAATACCACAAAATAAAAATAAATGAAAAAAACCTGTAAAATGCAAAATTATCATCCAATCAAGATGAAAATACCAGGTGCACACCTTAATATGGTGAATAATAAGTGCAAATTTTCAGACAAATCCTCCCAATAGTTTTTGAGAAATGGTCCGGACAAAATCTCGTCTACAGACAGACGGACGGACAGCTAGACAGACAGATGGACATGGTGATTCCAATTAACCCCTATAAACTTGGTTTGCAGGGGTAATAACAAAATTCCAATCATTATCTTTGATCCAGGTAGACATTAAAGATCAAGATCAATCTTACCTTTGTCTTGTATTTTCCTCTTCTTAAGAAAAGGTCTGAACAAAACCCATTCCTCTTTGTTGAAATCTGAAAATGATAAATTGTATAATTTTATAATCTACTATGATGTAAAAAACAAAAGGCCCATGGACCTTATAGGTCAACTGAGCATCATGCAACAACTTTACAACGATTGACTTTGGTTCATGTTTTAAACTAGATGTCATGGCATTCACAATTTTGAGAGGGGCACCACTGCTAATCAGTAACTATACACTTAGCATGTTTAGTTTAGTTACTTAATACCCATAGGCAGGGTAGGGGAACAAAAAAATGCATTTCAACTAATCAGTAATATTCAGCAATAATCAGTAAAGTGCCCCTACCACACACAAACCCTTGGTCCACACATTTTACTATTTTGGAAAAGGGTGCCTTTTCCAAAATAGTGCCTTTCAAAAATATTTGATTAATACAAAGGAGAAGATTTCAATCAATTAATTCATTTCCAGTATATAAGTAGAGCCCTCTCCCCCTCTATGGTACCCCTGACATAGGGGCATTGAAATTCACAATTCGGGAAGAATGGCCCTTGCTCATCATAGCTATATATGTAGTTCATCTGCTTAATATCCAGGAGCAGAGAAGAAGATTTTCAAACAATTTCTGCATTTTCTATATAACCAATAGAGCCCCGCCCTAACAACAGAACCCCTGACCCTGAGGTCATAAAATTCACAAAGGTATTTTTCCACATCATAACTATGTACTTAGTTGGTTTATTTAATACCCAGGAACAGAGTAGAAGATTTTTAAAGAAATAATCTATTTTCACTATATAATCAATAGAGCCAAGCCCTAACACCAGAACCCCTGACCCTGGGGTCATAAAATTCACAAAGGTATTCTTCCACATCATATTTATGTACTTAGTTTATTTAATACCCAGGAACAGAAAAGAAAATTTTTAAAGAAATAATCTATTTTCATTATATAATCAATAGAGCCCCGCCCTAACACCAGAACCCCTGACCCTGGGGCCATAAAAATTCACGAATTTGGAAGAGGCATTCTTTCTTATCATAACTATATACATGTACTTACTAGTTAGTTTATTTAATACTCAGTAGCAGAGAAGAAGATTTTCAAAGAATTAATGTATTTTCACTATATAATCAATAGAGCCTCACCCTAACACCAGAACCCCTGACCCTGGGGCCATAAAATTCACAACTTTGGAAAAGGCATTCTTGTTCATCATAACTATACAGTAAAACTCGGTTATAGCGAAGTCCTGGGGACCTGTGAATTTAATTCGCTATATCCGTAATTCGTTATATCCGTATAACGAATTCGTATAACCATATATAGCGAATTCGCAATATGCATGTTTTCCTTCAAGTGTTACTATAAAATATGTTAGGGAAGCAAATATTACAAAACATACCTTCGATAACTAAGGTTTTGTTATGAATTGAATTTTATTTACAAATGCTGAAAGAAAATAAAGTCAGTTTAAGTTATCAAATTTTGAGATTTTTGAAAGTTCGTTATAAAAGATGTAAAATTCATTATATTTAACCTCAATGGGACTAAAAATCAGTTCGCTATATCCGTAAATTCGTTATATCAGAGTTCGTTATAACTGTAAAATTTTACAAAGATTTTTAAGAATTTTGCCGGGGACCAGAAAAACTTCGTTATATCCGTGAATTCGCTATATCCGTGTTCGTACTAAACGTGTTTTACTGTATACTTAGTTCAATACCCAGGAGCAGGGAAGAAAATTTCAAACAAATTCTGCATTTTCTCTGTATAATCAATAGAGCCCCGCCCTAACACCAGAACCCCTGACCCTGGGGCCATAAAATTCACAATTTTGGAAAAGGCATTCTTCCTCATCATAACTATATACTTAGTTCATTAGTTGAATACCCAGGAGCAGAGAAGATTTTCAAACAATTTCTGCATTTTCTCTGTGTAATCAATAGAGCCAAGCCCTAACACCAGAACCCCTGGCCCTGGGGCCATAAAATTCACAATTTTGCAAAAGGCATTCTTCCTCATCATAACTATGTACTTAGTTAGTTTATTGAATACCCAGGAGCAGAGAAGAAGATTTTAAAGAAATAATGCATTTTCACTATATAATCAATAGAGCCCTACTCTAGCACTAGAACCCCTGACCCTGGGGCCATGAATTTCACAATTTTGGTAGAGGACTCAATGGTCATTACATTCATGCTAACAGTTTGACTGCTTGATGTCCAGGAGTAAAGAAGAAGATTTTTAAAGATTGCACTAATTTTAGTGGTTTTGGCCCCACCCCTCAGCCCCAGGGGGGACAGGGACCATGAAATTCACAATTTTTGTTCCCCTTCATCCATAGATGCTTTGTGCCAAATTTGGTTGAAATTGGTTGAGTGGTTGCCGAGAAGAAGCTGAAAATGTTCAAATGTTAACACACGACAAACGACGCATGACGACGGACGGAAACAGATAGCAATAGGTCACCTGAGTTTACTTAGGTGACCTAAAAATAATTAGAGGAACTGTGAACACTGAGTTCACAAATTGATTCTTCCTGCTCCCATGTGACTAAACACCCCTGTAAACATGCAATCGGCAATTCTGATGAGATCGGCAACACCGATTGTTAAATTCAATTACATAAGGAAGATGGGGTACAATAAAACAGTGCTTTGTCCCGGCCATTTCTTCACAATTTTCCTACAGCATTTTTGACTCTTCAGATGCAACTATGGAAGTTCTGATCTATGAATTAAACAAGAGGCCCAAGGGCCCTTGAATCACTCTTCTGATAGATTGTACAATCTATCACTTCTATTGAAGCCTCTAACCTTAAGTATCCTAAGACCCAAGCTGTATCAACTGACAAAGTTTGATGATTCTTAGCCAATTAGGACTGAAAATATTTTTAATAATAAAGCTATAAAAAACCATAAGTACATCACAGTGACCTACATTAAGATTGAAGTTTTCTGAGGACTCAAGATGCATTAATAAACAAAGATTGAAGATTCTAAGCCAATAAGTATTTGAGATATTTAAAAGTAGGTCACCGTGATCTCTTTTTGTCTACATTCTTTGAAAACCTAAGATACATCAACTGACAAAGTTTGATGATTCTAAGCCAAGAAGTACCTGAGATATTCAAAGGTAGGTCACCATGACCTACTTTTTGATCGACATTGTCTAAAAACCAAAGATGCATCAAAAAACAAAGTTTAGTGATTCTAAACCAGTTAGTACCATAGATACTTAAATAAAGCCATAAAATGTCAAAAATTGTGACCTATTTTTTGGACATCATTCTCCCAAAACCCAAGATGCATAAATTCACAAAGTTTGATGATTCTAAGCCAATTAATACCTAATATACTTAAATAAAGCCATAAGATGTCAAAAATTAAGTCACCATGACCTACTTTTGAACATCATTCTCCGAAAACCTAAGATGCATCAACTTACAAAGTTTGATTATTCTAAGCCAATAAGTACCGTAGATACTTAAATAAAGCCATAAAATGTCAAAAGTAGGTCACAGTGACCTACTTTTTTAGTCGTCACTCTCCGAAAACCCAAGACGCATCAACTCACAAAGTTTGATGATTCTAAGCCAATTAAATGCCTAAAAATACTAAAATATAGCCTTAAAATGTCGAAAGTAGGTCACAGTGACCTACTTTGGACATGATTATCCGAAAACCCAAGATGCATCAACTTACAAAGTTTCATGATTCTAAGCCAATAAGTACCGTAGATACTTCAATAAAGCCATAAAATGTCAAAAGTAAGTCACCGTGACCTACTTTTGGTCCTCACTCTCCGAAAACCCAAGATGCATCAACTCACAAAGTTTGATGATTCTAAGCCAATAAATACCTAAGATACTAAAATATAGCCATAAAATGTTGAAACTAGGTCATCGTGACCTATATTTTGGTCGACATTTTTTAAAGTCACAAGATGCATCTGCTGACCAAGTTTGATGATCCTAGGTCTGAAGGTAATCAGAATATGCCTTTTAAACAATTCGAAAACAAATGCCTGCAAAATTCAAAAAGTAGGTCACAGTGACCTATTTTTTCATAAATATGTTTTAAGGTCCCAAGATGCATCAATTTACAAGATTTGATGATTCTAAACCTCTCAGTGTCTGAAATAATTGGATTAAATGTTTTAAAAAGAATTAATCATAAAGTTCAAAAAGTAGGTCACAGTGACCTACCTTTAAGCTATCATTGTTCAAGGACCCAAGATGCATCAACTGACAAAGTTTGATGATCATAGGCCTTAAAGTGCCCGAAATAGGCCTTCAAATCAACTTGAAAACAAATGCACACAAAATTTGAAAAGTAGGTCACCGTGACCTACCTTTGAGTTAACATGATGTGAAGTCCTGAGATGCATCAACTTACAAGATTTGACGATCCTAGTTCTAATAGTAAGCAAAATATAAACGTTTTTATTATTTGTAAATTTAGGTCAACTTTGAAGTAATCTTGAGACCACGCCCTTTGCCCGCGGGTTATGCCTTGAACAATTTTTAATCTTCAACATATCCTGATCCTTGTATGTAAGTTTGGTGAAAATCTGCCTGGTGGTTCTGGAGAAGAAGATTTTTTAGCAACCAGTTATTTTGGTTTTGTTTTCCTGATTATCTCCCCTTGTTAAGGGTCCCAACCCTTATTTTAGTATAAAGGGTAGCCCTTGGGCCAAGGATACCCTGTGACAAATTTGACACTGATTGGCCAAGGGGTTCTTGAGTTATGGCCCATATTCTAAAAAGTTAACGCACACCGCACAAATGGCCATAGCATTAGCTCTTTGAGCCTTTGACTCAGAAGAGCTAAAAATCATTGTGTCTTTTGTTAAAGTTAAATATTCAATGATTTGGATTGCCCTAAAGTTTCACATGAAGCTAGTTTTAGTGGTATTTCTTGCCTTATAATGTATAACTGACAATCTAAAGGGCACCTTTGCATTTCTAAATGTAAAGTTCTTCATCAAACAGAAAGCGTTAAAATAACAGTTTGAAGTGCACACATGCAAAACATTTTAGGGATCGGCAACGACCCTTTGAGTATTCATACAACTTAGATAATATGATAAACTTAAATTGCGGTTGACTTGAAATTTATTAAATAAGTTTAATGAAATACTGCATACAGGGAATTTTTTGCCCCCATCTTATTTTCACCCCTTTCACCCTACTCCAATGGGTGAATTTTGGCCTAAATTAAAATTCTGTTTGTTTGCCATTTACCGACCCAGATTATTAGCAATGGGTAGGTGAGTATGAAAAATATTTTATTTTATTTTCTTCTTGACATCAAATTACTATTAAAATTTTAGAAAATCGATATTGTCATGTACATATTCTTTGTTATTGCAACTTTTACTTCAAGGAATAAAATGTACTAGTTCTAGTACTTAAACAAATCTGGTATACTATAAGCTGTATATCTATCTTTGTATGTCAGTACAGAAATGTTTATTGATTTTTCTTTTAAAAAATTGGAAAATAATATTTTGTTTACTTTAAACAATATAAGTAAATAATGGGAATTTATTTTTTTTAAATTCCATTCAATACGTATATTACTGATATTAGTCCAACCTTCAATTTCATGTATTTATTCATGGGATTAAAAGTTTTTATTTAAAAATAAGACTTGTATTTCTTATTCTAATTACGTTTCCACATTGTCTAGACAAAAGATATTTTCCTTAGTATAGTAAAACCTTGCAATATTGTCCGTTTCCTGTTATTAGTCTGACCCCAAATTTAATCATGGCGTTCAAAATATTAACAAGGCTGAAGGCATGGAGTCCTTTGATGCTTTCAACATTTGTAACTACTTTTCTGCTCTTTCCACTTAGATTTGGTAATAAAATTAAAGTTTGACAATTTTATTTTTTGTCAGCGATGTCGGCGACATTTATTTTGAAATCGATAAGTAGCATCGAAGAGCTCCGAACAACCGACAATAATCTTAACTTTCTAAGCAGGGTATAATAAACAAGAAATGAAAAAAGTTACCTTCTAAGTTATTTTCAGCAAGGTCATGTTTATCATCTTGATGTTTCTGTGAAAGATAATTATGAACAAAATCCGAAAATGCTGTAGAATGATCCATTAGCTCTTGAAAGGTGCCCACCTCAGAAACTTCTCCTTCATTTACTGTCACTATAAGATCTGCATATGGAAGGAATCCTAATCCATGGGTCACAAGTATTCTTGTCTATAAAGACCAAATTGAAAATAATGGCCTATAAGAAATGATGAAACAAAGAATATACCATGGTTGGAGTAAATAATAGGTTAAAATTACAACATTATCAAAGGAATAAATTACTATTTGAAGTATACATAAAACATGAGGACCTTTGAAATCAATTGTCACCTGACTAATCACTCCTGTTCAAAATCACATAAAAGATGAGTTTGCAGGTGACAAATTCTACCAAATCCAAATTTAAATAATATTCTACAAAGTTTCCTCAGAAAGTGTGATATTTTATGACACTGTGAATATACAGTACCAACCAGGCACAACCAAACATCAGAACCACCCAGAGCTTACTCTGGGTTTGCTTTGAGTCCACTCTGGGAGCGCCTTGGGTACCCTCCAGGTTTGCTCTGCGTTTTCTAAGGGTCAGCTCTGGGTCCGCTAGAGCAAACCCAGTGTTCAATTTCCAGATTCTCCTTCACTTCCATAACAGTAAATTTGACTGTGGTGCATTAAACACCAGTTCACAAAAAGGATCTTCGGTATATTTTTTATGCAAACATACAAACCATATATCAGGAATTTAGGAATTTAGGAATTTTTCTCTACTTTTAGACCCTTTAAAAATTTTAAGCCTTATACATCAGAAATGATTAGATTTTATATTTTGAAAACACTCATGACTTTATGAAAATAATGCAATTTTCCAAAGCAAGGATGATTTTCCCGCAATTGGCATTGGCATATTTTATCTCGATTAGTTAATCTAAAAAATAATGAAATATTAAACAAGAGGCCCATGGGCCACATCGCTCACCTAAGCACAGTTGGTAGGAAAAAAGCAAAATTCAGTTTATCATTGAAAAGTTTACACCCAAAAATGGTCTGAACCAATCCCTTAAGAATTAAATCTATACTAACTAAGGATGCTTGCATATTTCTTTGACTACCTGTGGCTTTATTGCCCTTTACATTTGAACTTACATTGTGCCCCCTTCCAAACTAAAATAGCACCAATCATGGCTTTGCTGTCCTTAAAATATTTTTCCTATATATTCCTACTGTATTAATTGGCATTGTGGCCTCGCCCTATCCTCGGGGGTCATGACTTAAACAAACTTGAATCTACACTACCCGTGAATTCTTCCATACAAATATGACTAATCTTAGCTATTCTTGAGAAGAAGATAATCTTACCTATTCTTGAGAAGAAGATTTTTAAAGAATTTTTCTAAATATTCCTAGGTAAAACTTTGATCAGCTATTGTGGCCCCTCCCTACCACGGGGGTCATGATTTGAACAAACTTGAATCTACACTACCTGAGGATATTTCCCCATAAGTTTCATTTTTATTGGCACAGTGGTTCTTGAGAAGATTTTTAAAACATGCCACAAAATGTTGTCTATTTCTGAATAATCTCCCCTTGAATAAGGTTGTGGCCCTTCATTTGAACAAACTTGAATCCCTGTTACCCCAAGGATGCTTTGTGGCAAGTTTGGTTGACATTGGCCTAGTGGTTCTGGAGAAAAAAGTCAAAAATGTGAAAAGTTTACAGACAGACAGACAGGTGGACAGCTAGACGGAGGACTGACAATGGTTGATGAGAAAAGCTTAGTTGAGCTAACTATACTAAAACATGAGGATCTCATTGAGTATTTTTTATATTTATAATTTAATTCTGTCCATCGATCATCCTGTCAAATATGTTTAATTTCATTTTTATATAAAACTAGACAACTAGGAATAAGTTTCAAAATTTTAATTTGGCTTTTGGGAACTACTCAGCATGATATAACATATATATACAGAACATGAACACAGAAAACATGTCTAAACTAGTATAATGAAATTTTGATATACATAAGACAAACATTAAAGCAAAATCATACATGAAAAATAGTTAAGTTTGCCTTTTTGATATAAAAACAAAGGCTGATGGCCTTGAAGAAGAGGGCCGATGGCCCTTGTTGACCAATGGTCAGAGCGAGGCCAATGGCATTAAACACTGAAAACTAGGCCGATGGCCTGAGTTAAATAGTGGCCCATGGCCAAGGTGACCGCTTTTTGGGGCATTTTAAATTTGCAATAATGACCGTACTTTAGTTTCTTGCATTTCAGCACAGTTTCTTCATCAAAGTAACCTTTATTTTATAATAAAACTAACATAACTTCAACTAGATATCATTGAAATGGTGGCCATCTCAAAGGGCCCGCTTTTCAACAATGAACATGAAAAAATGTAAGGTATTTTAAAAGGGTTTATTTTGAAGAGGAACATTTGTGTACTTCAGTAAAAGTCATTAAGTTCGACTTCATGGATATTGTGAATCTTCAAATATATATCGAGGTTATCTTGTATCCCCAGCTATATAAATTTAATGAATTCCTTATACAGATATAATGAATTACGGATATAGTGAAGTTATTTCAGAGGTCTCATTGACTTCTATATAACTGAGTTTTACTGTATTAAGGACTGTGTTGTTTGAGTCTAAAGGGGATAAAACGAAACTACTCTCTGAACCATCAGTCTCTGTCGAGACTGAAGCTCTACTGGTTTGTACTTATAGCAAAGGAAGAGAAAAGTACTTAAGAGGAGTAGCATTTCGAAAGAATGTCACAGAAATTTCTATTTTTAGTAACAAAGGCAACATTGTTCATCAATATCAAAAACTGATAAACAGAATTATGTATCTTAGTGTAGTCTACTTGTGTGCCAAGTTAAATTGAAATCAGACCAAAACTGTTGGAGACATAGCATTTTGAAAGAATTTCACAAAAGTTTTATTTTTAGTAACAAAGGCAACAACGTTCATGGAAAACAAAAACTGCACAGAATTATGTATCTTAGTGTAGTCTACTTGTGTGTCAAGTTATATTAAAATCAGACCAAAACTGTGGGAGGAGTAGCATTTCAAAAGAATTTCACAGAAATTTCTATTTTTAGTAACCACGGCAACACCGTTCATCGAAATGAAAAACCGATATACAAAATTATGTATCTTAGTGTAGTCTACTTGTGTGCCATGTTATATTAAAATCAGACCAAAACTGTGGGAGGAGTAGCATTTCGAAAGAATTTCACAGAAATTTCTATTTTTAGTAACAAAGGCAACACCTATCAGCGAAATGAAAAACCGATACACAAAATTATGTATCTAAGTGTAGTCTACTTGTGTGCCAAGTTAAATTGAAATCAGACCAAAACTGTAGGAGGAGTAGCATTTTGAAAGAATTTCACAGAAATTTCTATTTTTAGTAACCACGGCAACACCGTTCATCAAAATCAAAAACTGATATACAGAATTATGTATCTTAGTGTAGTCTACTTGTGTGCCAAGTTATATTAAAATTAGACCAAAACTGTGGGAGGAGTAGCATTTCGAAAGAATTTCACAGAAATTTCTATTTTTAGTAACAAAGGCAAATCGTTCATCGAAATGAAAAACCCATACACAAAATTATGTATCTAAGTGTAGTCTACTTGTTTGCCAAGTTAAATTGAAATCAGACCAAAACTGTAGGAGGAGTAGCATTTTGAAAGAATTTCACAGAAATTTCTATTTTTAGTAACCACGGCAACACCATTCATCAAAATCAAAAACCGACACGGAATTATGTATCTTAGTGTAGTCTACTTGTGTGCCAAGTTATATTAAATTCAAACCAAAACTGTAGGAGGAGTAGCATTTTGAAAAATTGTTTACAGACAGACAGACGGACGGACGCCGGACGCATTACTATCGCATAAGCTCTTCTGGTCTCTGACCAGTAGAGCTAATGAATTGAAATATAAATATGAAAATATGCACTTACATGATGAAATTTGATATTTAATGGTGAAAATCGAAGAAAACTTGAACTAAGTCAATAATTGGTAAAGTTTGAGGCTGACTGGAATTAAGGGGAAAAAATTATGCACCAAGCAAAGATTTCAAACAGAGAGGCTAATTCTGACCATGACTTAGAAACTTCGACCAAGGTCACTGCACATCCACTGACCAGTGGCACTCTGTGAGTGAAGTATGAGCCAGACTGGGCCTAGGAGAGAGAAGATATGCTTAGGACAAGGATTTTTCATATAATTCTGCTTTTACCTTGACCTTTGACCTAGAAACATGGTTCAAGGTCAATACATACCAGTTACCCCAAAGGCACTCTGTGGGTGAGGATGAGCCAGATTGGGCCAAGGAGAGAGAAGATATGCTCTCAGGACAAGGATTTTTCATATAATTCCACTTTTACCTTCACCTTTGACCTATAAATATGGTTCAAGGTCAATGCACACCAAGTCACCCCAGTACTCTGTGGGTGATGTATGAGCCAGATTGGGACAAGGAAAGAGATGATATGCTCCGGACAAGAGATCTCGGACGACGGACGGACAAACTGATCACTATTGGGTGCCCGCCAGGAAGGGCCCTAATTATTACATGTCCTCATTATACTACTGAAATATATTTACTGAATAAAATACATGTATTGTTAAAAGAACTTTATTCGGTAATAACCAATTTTTGCCCCCCAAATCAAAATTTGATGGAGAAATAATTAATCCTGTTCTAAAGCCGGGGGATCTATGCTGACTACAAAGCACTGAATATTTTCATCAGCAATGACATCATATGTTTGGAATAATGTCACAAAAATGACGTAAATTTAAAATTTCCATGATTTGCACAGAAAATACATAAATTATGTTGATATTTTGAGAAAAAATCACCGAGCACAGGTCTGATCAGGTTCAATATTTTGATATAGTGTGAAGAATGATAATATCAACGAAATATGTAAATATCATTCCTGAGCAAACTTGCGCTCTATTAATTTTATAGTTAAAATTGTTGAAATTTTTTTCCATTTTGTCCATTTTCTAAAAATAATATAAAATCGGATGAGTTTGTCATGTCATAGAAGCAAAAATAATCAATAAACTACTTTGAAACAATATTATGTTCTGTTAATTTATATTTTTTGTTTTTATACAATTTATGGAATTTAGCACATTTCAAGAATTTTTCAAAATTTGACTATTGTGGGGGGCAAATATATGCAATATACCGCATATACTTCTTTCCATATCAGGTGACCTATAAATGTTAATGTAAATGAGTAGCTTTCATCAGCATCTACATGTATCAGTACATGAAGTTTCATAAAAAATGTCTGGAATAATTTCTTTGAAACTGAATTTTGAACTGAGCTAAATGCAAAGAGTGATTGAGGGACAGAAGGGAGGACATGATAAATTTTATATGCCCATAATATTCATGAACTGGAAGCACAAAAACACAGAGAGTGACACTTAAGTGATTGAACCAACAGTTAATCTTAAATGTATAAATTAAATTGTCACATTCATTATGAACATACCTTATTTTTAAGGCAGCTGTTGGGTCCAATGACATTTTCAAATATGTGCATGCCCACATGGGCATCAACAGCACTAAGTGGGTCATCCAACAAGTATATTTCATTGTTCTGGTAAACTGCTCGAGCCAAACTCACCCTTTGCTTTTGTCCACCACTTAGATTTATTCCCTGTAAGAAAAATGCATAGTATTTCTTTCTTAGATATCAACAGTTTTTATTTAGACAATAATTTTTTTTATACTTTGATCAAAACTTTTTATCACCTGCAGACCACTAAATGAGCACAGTGACTTAGACTATATATATCCATTGCCTGCCTCTCTGTTTGCCATTAAATACAATATCCTGACAACTGTAAAAGGTAGGGATCTAGTACTTTTTCCAAAGTATCAGTGAAATACAGTTAATTCTCGTTAAAACGCCACCTTTTGTAATTTAGAAATCATGGCGGTATAACGAATTTGGCGATGAATTGAATTTTCCATCTTTTAGGAAATAAGACGTAGAGTTATCGTTCTTAGAAATACCATTTATCGTTTGTATTCCTATTATCACATGTACATGTATATGTAAACTTATTTCTTAATTTGAAAACACTTCAAGTAATTTTTTATGTACAATTTCGCTAAAACAAAATATTCAGTTATGAATTTAAGACAAGTACATGAGTATGCATGTAAATCTGCACGTCTTGATATTGAAAAAAAAAATGCTGGGTCGATCTTAGTGATATATTGCCTATAGTACTTAAAATAAATTCTTGAATAAATTCATTGTTTATGAAATCATTGTTAATGAAACGTTCACAATTTCTGACTTATAGTTATTTTTAAAGCAAACTTTGCATTATATTTAAAGCAGAGATCATCAAAATAATATCGTTATCAGCGTACTTTAACAACGACAGCTTTCGTGGCGAAGCCTAGGCTAAATGATTTTATTAAGCAGAAAACAAAATTATTCTAACAGTTCATGTTAAAATTATTGTTTACTAATTGCATGTACCTTGACTTGCTTTGCATGCTTTACAACAGGGATAGCGTCAACAAATTCACTGACCACATGTACCTGTGGCGGTATTATCGAGATAATTGACACTTAAGATTGGACGTTTGTTGTGAAAACAGGGTGGCGGATGGCGGTATGCGAATTTGGCGTTATAAAGAGAATTTTATATAGCAGGAAAAACGTTCTTTGAAAAATCATGGCGGTATTGCGAAAATGGCGATGAATCGAATGGCGAGAATCGAAATAATTCGACTGTATTTTGTTGATATTTTGAGTAAAAGCTACCAAGCGCATGTGTGTTCAGGATAAATATTTTGATATAAAAAACGTGATAAATGCAGAATATCAATGAAATATGTCAATATTGTTCCTGAAACAAACTTGGCGCTTGATAAATTTTAAAGCTAAAATTGTTGAAATTTTGTCCATTTTGTCCTCTTTCTGAAAAAGGATATAAAATCGGACCAGTTTGTGACGTCATAAAAAAAAAAATTGTGAATAAACTGCTTTGACACTGTAATATTTTCTGTTAATTTATATTTCTCATACAATTTATTGAATTCAGCACATTTCAGGAAGTTTTCAGAATTTGACTTTCGTGGGGATGTTGTATGCAACATACCGCATATAGTTCTTTTGATCAGAAAAGTCCACGTGGTTCAGGTAACTACAGAGGCCCAAGGGCCTTGAATCACTCTTCTATAAATTACACAATCTTATCACTTCTATTATAAGCCTCCAACTCTATTAGAATCATAAGACCCAAAATGCATCAACTTACAAAGTTTGATAATATTTAGCCAGTTAAGACTGAAGACATTATAATATAATTATAAAATACCATAAGTAGGTCACAGTGACCTACCTTTTGATTGAAATTTTCTGAGGACTCAAGATACATTAATTGACAAAGACTGATGATTCTAATTAAATAAGTACCTGAGATATTCAAAAGTAGGTCACCATGACCTACGTTTTGGTCAACATTCTCTGAAAACCCAAATTGCATCATCTGACAAATTTTGACGATTCTAAGCCAATTAGTACCAGATAATTAAATATAGCCATCAAATGTCAAAAGTAGGTCACGGTGACCTACTTTTTTAGTGAGATGTTATCCAAAAACTCAAGATGCCTAAACTGACAAAATTTGCTGATACTAAGCCAATAAGTACCTGAGATATTAAAAAGTAGGTCACCGTGACCTACTTCTTGGTGGACATTCAATGAAACCATAAGATGCCTCAACTGACAAAGTTTGATGATTCTGAGCCAATAAGTACCAAATATAATTAAATATAGCCACGAAATGTCAAAAGTAGGTCACAGTGACCTCTTTTTAGTACAACGTTCTCTGAAAACCCAAGGCGCCTAAACTGACAAAGTTTGATGATTCTAAGCTAATACGTACCCGAGATATTCAAAAGTAGGTCACGGTTACCTACTTTTTGGTTGACATTCTCCAAAAACCCAAGATAAGCATTCTTCTTATTATTTTATGCCTCAATTTGAAAAAGTTTGATGATTCTTAGCCAATAAGTGCCTGAGATACTTAAATATAGCCATAAAATGTCAAAAGTAGGTCACTGTGACCTACCTTTTGGTCGACAGATCTCCGAAAACCCAAGTTGCATCAAATGACAAAGTTTGATGATTTTAGGTCAGTAAGTACCAGAGATACTTAATTATAACCACAAAATGTCAAAAGAAGTCACCATGACCTACTTTTTGGTCGTCACTCTCCGAAACCAAGTGCATCAACTCACAAAGTTTGATGATTCTAAGCCTATAAGTACCGGAGATACTTAAATAAAGCCATAAAATGTCAAAAGTAGGTCACCGTGACCTACTTTTTGGTCGTCACTCTCCGAAAACTAAATATGCATCCACTCACAAAGTTTGATGATTCTAAGCCAATAAATACCTAAGATACTTAAATAGAGGCATAAAATGTCGAAAGTAAGTCATCGTGACCTACATTTTGGTCGACATTTTTTCAAAGACCCCAGATGCATCTACTGACCAAGTTTGATGATCGTAGGTCTGAAGGTAATCAAAATATGCATTTTAAACAATTTGAAAACAAATGTCAGCGAATTTCAAAAAGTAGGTCACAGTGACCTACTTTAAAAGAAATATGTTTTAAGGTCCCTAGATGCATCAAAGTACAAGATTTGATGATTCTAAACCTCCCAGTGTCTGAAATAATGGGATTAAATGTTTTTAAAAGGATAAGTCATAAAGTACAAAAAGTAGGTCAGGGTGACCTACTTTTAAGTTGACATTGTTCGAGGACCCAAGATGCATCAACTGACAAAGTTTGATGATCATAAGCCTAAAAGTGTCCAAAATATGCCTTCAAATCAATTTGAAAATAAATCCCTGCAAAATTTAAAAAGTAGGTCACTGTGACCTACTTTTGAGTTATCATGAAGTGAAGTCGTAAGATGCATCAACTTACAAGATTTGATGATCCCAGTACTTAGAGTAAGCAAAATATACACGTTTTGATTAATTGTAAATTTAGGTCAACTTTGAAGTGACCTGTAGACCGTCGTCCTTTGCCCTAGGGTAATTCCCCGTGCAAATTTTAATCTTCGACATATCCTGATCCTTGAATGTAAGTTTGGTGAAAATCTGCCAGGTGGTTATGGAGAAGATTTTTTAGCAAGCAGTACTTTTGGTTTTGTTTTCCTGATTATCTCCCAAAGTTTAAGAGTCCCCAACCTTTATTTTAGTATAAATGGTAGCCCTTGAGCCAAGGATACCCCGTGACAAATTTGGTACTGATTGGCCCAAGGGGTTCTTGAGTTATGGCCCATATTCTAAAAAGTTTACGCACACCGCACAAATGGCCATAGCATTAGCTCTGAGCCTTTGGCTCAGAAGAGCTAAAAATATGAACCTTTACTTTTCCTTACCAAATGGTTTATTAAAAATTCGTCTGAACACAGTAGAATATATACCATCTTAGGATACTGTGTACAAAGTTTGATTGAAATTGGCTCAGTGGTTCTGGAGAAAAAGTGAACAGTTTACAACATCAATAACAATGAAACAGAACATTCAAAAACTCACTTTTTGAAATATAATTTCACCCTTTTATTTTTTTTTAAGGTTTATACCACTTCAAACAGATCAGCAAAAGAGACTGGTAATGGACAAGGTCCCCTACCCCCTGGGGTCATTATTTGAACTACCTTGAATCTACACTACCTAAGGATGCTTCCATATAAATATGATAAATTATGGCTTTGTCACTCTTGAGAAGAAGATTTTTAAAGAATTTTCCTATATATTTCTATGTAAAACTTTTGTCGGCCATTGTGGTCCCGCCATACCCCCATGGGGTCATGATTTGAACAAACTTGAATCTACATAACCTGAGAATGCTTCCATATGAATATGATGAATTACGGCTTTGCTATTCTTGGAAAAATACACGTACATTTAAAGAATTTTCCTATATACAGTGGAGCCTCATTTATCCGGACGCTTTGGTTTCCAGTTAATTTGTCCGGATATGTGAAGCATCCGGATACCTGAATCACCCGTTAAACAAGACAAAATAACATGAAAAAAATCAGTTCCAATGACAAGTCGTCCGGATACTGAAGCATCCGGATATCTGGCGTCTGGATATCTGAAGGTCCACTGTATTTCTATGTACATCTTTGGTCGGCCATTTTGGCCCCGTCCTACCCCCAGGGGTCATGATTTAAATAAATTTAAATCTTCACTACCTGAGAATATTTCCCCATAAGTTTCATCTTTCCTGGCAGAGTGGTTCTTGAAAAGAAGATTTTTAAAACATGCCACAAAATTTTTATTAATTCCCAATTATCTCCCCTTGAATGAGGGCATGGCCCTTCCTTTGAATAAACTTGAATCCCCTTCACCAGAAGCTGCTTTGTGGCAAGTTTGGTTGAAATTGGCCCAGTAGTTCTTAAGCAGAAGTCGAAAATGTGAAAAGTTTACAGACAGACGGACATACAAAAGACAAAATATGATCAAACAAAGAGGCTCAAATGCTGCATCGCTCACTCGAGAAGCTTTAACCATGCTGTTCTTTACCAGATTTCCCCCTTGTATTATATATTGTGACCTCATCCTACCCCATTGGTCATAATTTGGTCTATTTAAAATCTACACTATCCCAA